TGTGTCTTGGTAGCGTACAAAGTTTTGTGAAGCATGGTTCAGAGACGTAGTGAATCCTGTTGTCAGAGTAGCTCTGGTCACGCATGTGCTGACAAATCTGTTTTGCTTCTCTGGACAACTGTGCTAGTTTTTTTTAAACTCGGCTTATATTTATTTTGGGCAACATGTTAAATTTGGAGTGATGACTTTTATTAATTAAAAAAAAAAAAAAGGAAGAACATCCGTAATCATTTATTTTTTGCTTGAAGAGGGACTTTCATGTTGTGACTGCCTTACGAACAAAGAGAAAATAGCTGGGGAAAACAGAACGCTGGCACGCTAACTATTTGAAGAGATGCTTTATCCATCGTAACCTGGCAACTTGGTCTCTCCGTGCTTAGATCACATGACAATTCCTTAACTTTTTTTTTTTTTTTTTTTTTTAATATCCCAAAGTGGTATTATAGAAGCTCTCAAATGCAGATATTGTGAGGACAGCCAGATCAAGTCAGAAGGATCAGGAGGCCGTTAAGTCCGAAGCTGCATTTCTTTAAATTGCCATTAACCTTTACCGGCATCAGTTCAAAGCTTATTGCGGAACACAGTGCTGAGATCACCATCACTTTCTCCAGGGGTCCAGTTCCTGAAATGCATTGTCGTAAAAGTATAGCAGACTTCTTGGTTTGGGCATCAGTCTGCAAACAAAATATAAGCTGTTTGACAGTGCCATTGCAAGAGAGCTCACCCGCACAGCAGGTATAAGGAAGACTGAAGAACTGGATGAAGGATCTAGGCAAGAAGAAAAGACTCAGATATGAGTGCAGTTGTGTTAAATCCCTGCCGCGTTAAAAGACCAGCAGATAGGGTGTTGGCAACACTATCGGAACACGCACTTCATTTTGAAAGTCACTCTTTAACATTAATTTGTGTTCATTCTGTCCCTCACTGCACTGCTTTTAAGACTCCTCTTAGCAGCGCGGTGCTTTCAGGATATTAGGAGAGAGCCTGTCAAACTCGATGCTACTGTTGCCGTTAAGTAACTACATGTGCTTCTCTCACACAGCTAACAATGCCTGTGCCTGGCTCCCAGCTTCCCCTGCCCCGCTACAGCTCTGGCCAGCAGCCCCTGATTCTACCACAGTCCATCCAGCTTCCTCAGGGGCAGAACCTGCCTGTGGGAGCTCCCCGAAGAATCCTCCCTCCTGGATCCCAGCCTTCTGTCCTTGCTACCAGCAGGGAGGTAAGGATGATCTCCTGCATGCTCATTTTAGCATTCATTAACACACCCCCCACCCCACCCCCACCCTTGCACTGCAGTTTCACTCCTTGATCCTGCCTGTTAAAGGGGAGATTGGCTTGTTGGGGATCTTTAAATTTCAAAGCCAAGGATTAGTGTTACAGTGAAGGAGCCCTTTTCCTCTTGCCTCCAAAGTGCAGGCCAGCAGTCTTTCAGGTTTTGCTGCTGCTCATCATTCTGTTTCCAGGGAGCCACATCCTGCCTTGATCCAGTTTGGAGTCTCCAGTTTTATTACATGTTTACGCAGGTTTCCCCAGAGTGCTTGAGGGGTGGTGAGCTCCAGACGCAGTTGGAATACTGCCCAGATATTTCACACTGTTGTGAAGCTTGTCCGTTTGAGTAGGTATATTAATGTCATGTCTGGTTTGATGGATTCGTATCATAAGTTTGTCTATTCTAGGGGAGAGAGCACAGCAATTAACTTCCAGGTTCTGTATTTGCTTGTGCTGCTAGCTTGTTGGTTTAATACAAACAGATCATTTCACTTATAAGCCCCGTTGTCTTCACCTGAAAAATGTTTCTTCTTTTAATGGGCATGATGGGTAGAAGGGCTAAGATTTGACTTTAGAAGTTTATATGAGGTAGTGGGTGATCTGTGGATCTGTGAAAGATCATATGTTCTTCCTAATTTTCCTCTGTAGTCCTCCCAAATGGAAATGAAAGGGTTTCATTTCTCCGATGGTAAACAGAATATGTCCTCTGGAGGGTCTGTACCATCACCGCATACATACAGGTAAAACACTGAAAAACTTAGCCTCCTCAGTCGGACTGGGGAAGAAACATAGGGTTCACCGTTTGCAGTGACATGGTGCATGCATCATCCCTGTACAAGATCAGCTTGGGTTTTCACACGTGGGCTGTGCTTATTGTAGTCCAAATACTTGTATGAAAGTGTATCATCACGGTTTTGGTTTTGAGTAAGGGCCAGTGTGTCTCTCTGACTTGCCTCTTTGTGCCTGGGGGAAGTGTGTAAGGATACTTATTTTCTGTGCCTTAAGGGCAAATTGGAATTGGAATCTGCTCTTGCCTGTTCCTTGCCGAGGTGGAAAAGCTGGGGTTTGTTGAATAGTGTTTTGGTTTCTGCGTTATATTCTCGGACCAAAGATGAGAAGGGATAATGTCTGCACAGTCCAAACCTTCAGGCCGCTGAGCCTTTTGAGGCTTGCAGTTGCTTTGTTTTTTTTTTTTTTCCTTCCTAATCCATGTGTTATCTATTGGACTGGAGAGCTCACTAGTCCTCACAGTTTTAAAAACTCATGCTGTGTCTACTGCTGCTTTCTGCTGTCTTTTTTTTTCTTTCACACGTGAATAAGGTTCTCGTTCCATTGTAGAATTTACTCCATGAATGTTGTCGACTCTTCGATTTCCAGGCCTAGCTCTGCCAGCCCAAGTGGAAAGCCATCTGGACCAGCAGTTAGTATGGGCTCCGTGCAGGGACACTATGTACAACAGGTAGTGTATGTCAGTACTCTTCGGTTGACCCAGTAGTATCTGCTCTTTTGTACTGTCATTTTTTCCTGCCTTGTACTTAAAAGAGAAGTGTCAGAAAGGCCTATGTACTAGAGCTATACATGGGAGTTGTTTTCCCTGTGGGGAGAGCGCGTGAGCTGGTGTATGTGGGTGGATGTTACACTGAGCCGAAAAGTAATGCTGTCTCATTTGAGCTCAGGAGAGATTAGAGGATTACCTGTGTTACACTGCTTATGTTATTTGTTGCTCAGGTTTTGTATGGGTTGTTTGCATTGACAAGCTTGTGCGTCACTCTGAGATCCTTACGTGTGAGGTGTTTTAGACAGCAAAGTGTGGCACAAAAGAGGAAGTGCCTGAATTCTGGAGCAAACGTGCTGTCTTGCCTGAATGATGGTCATGGTCTGTTTTTGATATCTGACTAGAGGTCTCTGTGCTAGCTAATGCTTTGTTTCTGTATGTCAAAAGGCAAAGCAGCGGGTGGATGAAACTAAAGCAAATCTGGGAGCAGTAAAGCTGCAAGAAACAGCCTCCACGAACCAGATGAAGCCAGTGCGCACAGGAGCGATCAAACCTCAGGCAGTAAAAGTGGAGGAAAGCAAGGCCTAGGAGCACCTCTGATGCCCAGCTGGTTCTGCTGGCTGAGAGGCACTGCAGCTTAGACTGGACCCCACTGGATCTCCTGCAGATTTCGTCAGATCTACTGCCCGCCCCGCATTGACTGATTACAGTGACATCATCCAAGCCCCTCTCCCAACAAAGCAGTTTGAAACAGTGGATATGACATTGACCTGCTTGCTTTAAAACAAACCAACCGCCAAGCCCCGTGTGACTTTTAAGTGGCTCTAGCCATTCCCTCCCCTCTCCACCCCATCCACAGGTAGCTGTGAAGGCTCACTTGGCAAAGCCCATCCTTCTCCTTCCCTATTTCTGTCTCAGCGGAGTGGCAACTGGGGGAGAGGGGTTAGTTTGAGGTTTTTCATTTTAAAGGCAGCTGAGGTTTTTACGAAAAAAAAAAAAAAGCTATATCTTTGTTTATAGCAGAACTTTTATATGTTTTCTCATTTTTTTTTCCCCCTTCTTTCTGCCTCCCTCATTCCTTCCAGAAAAGAATTTCCTTCAGCTAAAATGTTCTGACAGAACCCTGCTTAGTTTTATATATGGTTCTGTGCTACTTTGAGAATCACGACTCTTCTAAACTGAGTTGGTTTGGGTATTTTTCCCCAGATGATTTAGCCTTTCGGGTTATTTGATCAAGAGAAATACAGGACAGTTAAGGCATTCGTTTTTGAGTATTTTTATTTTAAGCTAGAAGCAGTACTTGCATTAGAAGTAAATGTGTACTAAAGGTATATTGTAAATCAGTGCATTAATCTTGAAACTTGCACCACTTTAATTGTAGCTTTGGGGTGCCTTGTGCACAACAAAATGTGGCATTTTCGTTTTAAGGAAAAAAACCAAATTTCTGTTGCAAGCTCATCTGGATCTAGTTTTTTGTGGGTTTGGGATTTTTTAGTGACGGTCAAACATGCAGCAAAACGTAAATCATGGATTTACAAAATGTGAACTCTGTTAAGAAGAATCTCCTCACCTCACATGGGTCAGAAGAGTTGGCTAGAGCCAATGGGTCTGTATGGACTACTTTTTGTAGTTGTGATGCTCTCTTATGCTCCCTACCTTGGCCGCTCTAATTCTTTGTCTCCTGAGGCTAGTTCTGTGTTGTGTTCCTCCCTTGGGGCTCCTGTACTAAGTTTTGCTCTTCTCCTTTTTCCCCAAGGTCTTACTTTCTGCTCCTCTTTCTAACTTGCAGCCTCTTGTAAGGCTTGCATAGAAACACATCAGTAAGGGAGCCCCTCTGCAAAGCAGCCGTTTTAGCATGCAAAGAAGCTCCTTTTTTTTTTTTTGTGTTGGAAGCACATGTTTACAGAGGCAGTTTGGAATCATCCTTTTGTTCTCCTTTCCCAGATGAACAGCAAAGGGTTCTTTCCTTTTGGTGCAGTTGCATATGGTGTGAATACAGCCTTGTCACCTTACTCTTTCTCAGTGATATTTGATGCTATATGAAAGGAAGGTCCCAGTGGGAGGGGGCTGGGTTTTATTTCTTTGGTTTTTGGGGTGCGTGTGTGTATGTGTGTGTGTGTGTGTGTAGATTTTAGGATGGACTTTTAAAGTTCCTGAAAGTGCTCGGAGTCCTTCAGCTGAAAGTAGTTGTAAGCAAACTCAACTACTTTCAGCTAAACGGTTTGTGTCGTTTAGCTCCTTCAAAACGTAAAGTGGGCTGGTCGCTCTGGAATGAGGGAAGGAAAACTTCATTTCTGCAGTAGATGATAGCTTGCTAATAGTCTGTCCCATCTGCCTCTGCTAGGTGGCAGCAAGTCATTTGTTGGTGGTTCCAAAGAAGATATTTTGAACAAAGAATGTATTTGGGAAGGGATCTGAAAGATGTTTTTGTTTCTTTGTTTGCTTTTTTCCCCCCTTTCTGGGAAAGAGCCTTCATAGCTTTTTAGAGATGCATTTGAAGTTTTAAGCTAGGTATAAATCAGAATGTTTATACAATAGCTTTAAAAAGAGCTTAGAAACCTAAACTAACTTAGACATAGTAACTTACCCTCTCCACAGGTGTCCCCATTGTGCATGGCAGAGAACTCAAAGGGAAAGGGATAGGATGGTACTTTAAGATAAATAAAAGCTCTTCCCCACCTGCCCCCCCTTGTTTTGTGTATTTTTAACTTCAGAGCAGGGTGTGCCGGTATCTCTCTAGTGTCCTCCAAAGTACAGAGCTTAAGACTTGGTGACAAATATTTCCCTAGCCTTCAGTCATCTCCCAGACCAGCCTCCCTATCTGCTAGGCCTGCTCCGAACATTTTCCAAAGATTGCTCCACCAGTAAGTCATCCCACTCTCTTTTCTTCCTTGGAATATCATGAACAACAGAATTGTCTTTTTTCCTTTATGTTATCCTTCTGCCCAGCTGGCCCTAGCTAGTATTAGCCCAGAATCTAACTGTAATGGCTACAGAGACTTTTCCACGCCCCCTCTTCTCATCTCTTCCCTACCCCTAGACGCACTACTTGAGCTTTACAGAGACAGTAGCCTCTTTTCTCCCGCCTATGTGACTTTAAAATGGTCTTATGTGTTGGAGGAATCAGGTTATTGCTAGATACAAGATGTTGCAGTCCCTCTGGTGTAAATGCCATCAGAACTACAATACTTCCTGTTGAAAAAGGTCACCCTTCTTTCTCTTTTATCCCCTCCATTTCTTCCCCCAACAGAATAAAACACTAGAATTTATTTATACGTATTTGATGTTGTAGGTCTAGGTGAAAAAGTAATTGTTTCACTGCTCTATTTATATATTATGTCTGAATTATTCTGTGCAGGAAAGGCCAAGAAATGCATGTGAGCTTCATTCCATTCCTCACCTTTGCGTGACTGTCAGCTGCAGTTGGCAAGATTCTCCTTCACTTAATGGAGTTTTGTGTGGTGGAAAGCAGTTTTAGAGCCCAAATTTCTAAGGTGCAATATCCTTCTTCTCTGGCATATGTTTTTGTTTGTTTGTTCAAAGCCAGCACAAGGTTAGTGCAGTTTGTGGTGCTCTTCAGGCAAAAGGGAAGTCTCTGATCCTGAAGATGTAGAAATGCAAAGGGTGCTGGTAGGTAGATAAAATTCTGCCTGGGGAGGAGGAGGAAGGAGATGTATAGAACGTGAATATGATTTACAGGGGGTACTTCCGCTTGTTTTCTCCACCGCTGAAGGGTAGCGCCCTAGTGATTTATTCCTTTGCTGCTGGCTTTTGCTTTGGCTGGAAATCAACTTCCAGGTTGCAGGCTCCTTCTGCTAGGAAAGATTTAGTGTGCAGTGGGAGAGAGAGGTGAAATCCATATTTTCAGCAACAATGGGTGAAGCAGAAATATTCAGAGGCTGACTTTGCTACTCTTTATTCAGATTATTCGGCTGAAGGTCTGAAGCACGTGTGTAACTGGTTCTCTTACAAACAGTGATTCATGGTTTCACAGTTGCATTCAGTGCTGCTTTCCAGTTCAGCCTGCTTTTAGCTTTTAATTACAAATACAAAACAAAACCACTTGAGGTTAGGGAAGGAAAAAAAGAAAAAAGCTCCAGTGTATTTTTAAATGACAAGTGGAAGCAGCACAGTCACCAGTGAAACAGATATTATTGTTGATCCTTCATAATTCACTCTTGGCTCTGCCATGTGACAGCTATACTGTAGTCAGTAACTCTGAATGTGTTTGCAGCCCATTGAACTTCATACGTGTTTGTGTTCATGCAGAGAGGCACTCTGTTTAACAATTTCCTTGCAAGAATGCTGCACAGCTAAAAGCTGCCCTGTGGTTCCCGTGTATTTATAGATATATAGTAAAACAGGAGCTTAGCACTTTGGCTATGTCTCACCTTTTGGCAGGCTATTATATTCACTTTCAAGCGAGCGCCGCTGCATGCTGAGATCTGTTTTGTTGCATTTTGTTAACCTTCTGTTTTGCTTCTGACTGGTTAAACAAATTAATTCTTTGTAGCGTGGGTTATTTTTGACATACAGCAGCCCAGTTTCCATGTAAGAAAGATTTGCTTGTGAGTAAGAATTAACTTATAACAGGCATCAGACTGTTCTTAGATGTGGCCCATCAATGAGAGATGAGCGTTTTGCAAAAGCAATGGAACTGCTGACTCTGAAGAGACGGCACTAGTCCAACTACTCCTTTTTGTGTGCTTGGTCTGGCTTTTCGTTTTTGATGTTTTTTGTTTTTTGTTTTTTTTCCTTCTAATCCAAAGACCACCAGGTTCTCCTGGTGGCCGTAGACGCCCTCCTGGGTTTGACAGGTTCCTCAAGATGTCTGCAGCCATAACCTTGACCATTAGCCCTGGGAATCACAGCAGCAGCAATGAGGCACTCACTCTTTAGCATGTCTCCAGGCGTTGTCCTTAGCTGGAATTCTTTCTCTGGTTCTGTATAAATTGCATTTGTTGTTTCTCAAGGGGATACTGTACTCCTTAAAGCTTTTAACCTCATGACCTGTATAGTAAATTTTTTTTTGGCCTTTCCTCTCTTTGTCTTTTCATGTAGACCAGATATTTGAAAGGGCAGACGATGGATAATTGTGTAACGTGCAACCTGTTTATATTTTTTGGAAACTTTTACTTGGACCGGAACTCGAATCACGGAATCACCAGGCCAGTTGCGGCACACTCTTTATTGCCCTTTTTCCTCGTTTCAGTACCTATTGTTTCTCCTTTCAAATATGTGATTGTATTAGCTCTTTCCATATGAAAGAATTCTCCTTATTTAAATAAAAAAAATTAAAAAAAAATAAAGCAGATTATGCTTTTCTCAAAAAAAAAAAAAAGAAAGAAAGAGAAAACGGCCCCTTGTCTCGTTGTTTTGGGTGAACGGTTACAGAAAGACAACTGGACACGGTTGTGGCCAGCACTGTGGTATTTGAGCTCTTGTTAGCGAGTGTAATCCGCTCTCCCATAGCGGTCAAAAGGGGCTGGGTCGCGGCGGGGGGTGGCAGGGACCCGGGGCGAGGAGGGGGGCGGCTGCCT